TTTTATTCGGGGGTGGTATTGGGGGGGGGGGGGGGGGAGGGAGAGTCCGCGGTCAGGGATAGGCCGACATAAGATGTCACACCCCTGCACCGGTTTTTAGTTCTCGACTAAATAGGACGCCCACCACGAAGAGGGTATATTTTTGTCGGACGATACGTTTTCTGAAAGCTCTCTCGACGAGAAGGTTCCAGCACCGCCGCTCCCGTCTCCTGTTGAGTGCTCCGGGCCTTGAAAAAAATAATATCGTTTTTAGGCGGTGTGAAGTTGTGCCTACGGCAGGCAGGCTGCTTGTCCTTTTGTTCTCGCGGGTCAGAGGACGCGACCCGTCTGGCGTTTTTGGGGGTCTTGTGTTCCCTTGTCGCCGTCGGAAAGGAAGGACACGACGGAGGAGACTCTGCCGTGGTAGATGGGTGTAGCAAATGGCAGTTGCGGCCCCTTTTCCGTCCGTCTGTCCCCGCTGCTGCTGATTGCTTGCCCTCGTTTGATGGGTGGAACATGCACCCGTTTTGGCGCCGCCGAAGCACTCACTCCCAACGTGGACACCGCTGGCGAGCAGGTCGGTTGCGTTTTGACTAGCCGGTAGTCTGCTGCCGCAACGTGTGGATCCCCCGCTGACAAAAAGCGGTCGGTTGCTCGTTTTTGACCAACCGCTTCTCTGCCGCGTGCATCGTGCGCCTGCACCCGGCACCATGGGTCGGTCGGTCGGTCTCTCGACAATCGCAGGCGTCGATCGCCGCCGACCCCTCGCTGGCTACTTCCCGGCACGTGAACAAGTCGGCCTTTCCGATGGACGGCTGGACCCCCCTTCACGCCGCCGCCGCGAAGGGCAACGTGGAGTTCGTGAAGGTGTGTGCATGCAGCGAGGCGTTGAACGCGTTGACGAGGAGGGAAGAACCTGGTGCGCCAAACGCCGCGCTATTTATCACCCCAAACCTCTTAAACGTTGAGGGTATTGGATTCGATTTCTCCTTTCTTTTTTTTTATTTCGTCTTCGCTTCAAATCAACGCTCACAGCATTCGTTTGTGCCGTTTACTCCTCCTACCCGTGGTCACACAGCGGGGTTCCTCCCCCTGAACCCCGCTATTTACTACCCCCTCCTGCAGTGCTTTGCCTGTGAACAAACCAACAACCCCCGGCGTGCTTGGCGTGCGTTGCTTGCACCCGCCTGCCCCCGCGTTCGTCTTGCTTGCGTGCTTGTGTCCGCGCAGGTGCTGCTTGAGGTACCCGGGGTTAGCGCGTGGGCCGTGGACCTCCAAGGGAGGACCGCGCTAGCTCTTGCCGCCGCCGAGGGGCACCTCGATCTGTGCCTGCTCCTCAAGGTGACGAGATAATGACGAGATAATGACGACATGATAACGAGATAATATCGAGATAATAACGAGATAATAACCGCCCAAGTGGAATGTTTACTGTCGACGACATTGTCTCAGCTTCTTTCTTTTTTCGCTCGCCACGGTTTGTCGGCAACGCCTAGGTTGCATATATACTCGCTCGGAGAACATTTGATATCGACAAATTCCTGGGGGACGTATGCGTAGTACCGCGCCTTCCCTCCCGCCGAAGTGTATGCTACATGCCACGGTACGGGGTGACCGGGAGTGCCTCGCGGGGCCCCATGGTGTTGTCGGCCACGATGGGAGTACAGTGGGGGGCACTCAATAGTGCCGGGGGGTGTCCCGAGATTTTACCGGCACTATATCGGGCACCGGCTCTATTCAGAGTACAGAACGGCTTGGTATTTCAGTGTGCGCGAGCCGAAAACACTGGCACTATAGAGGTCCCCCGACTGTATCGAGTGCCCACGCCACTTGTCTGAGCTTTCCACCACAAGTATAGGATGTTGGGCGACAGAGATGTATACTGGAACATGACAGAAGAGAACAGAACTAGCGATACAATCAGCGGAGCCCAAGAGGTTTGTTTGTCGGAAAGTTCTCAACGAGAAGATGACGACTCCAGAAGGGGCGCCGTATTTTTCTCGACTCTCGAAGTCGACCCTTTGTCATGGGGGTGCACCCTCTCCGATGACTGCGGTATCCGCCAGAAACAAACCACGCAACTATTTACAAAGCACGGTTTTCGCGGATGCATGCATGCCGTGCACGTCGCAATCGCTGATTGTGCAGGCCAGGATGGAGATGGAGTCCGCGGACACGATCGTGGGCGTGAACGCTCCCGTGGACCTGTCGGGAAGGACGCCGCTGGCCTGGAGCGTCAAGGCCGCGCGGCAGAAGCGGAACAAAGAGGTGAGGAAGACTGAGTGGTGATGAAAAAACGTCGACACACAGGTGTTTTAGCAATAAACCCACGGCAAAGTTACGTGGCGAATGATGAGCAAGCAGCAGCGCGCGATACAGCGGGTATGAAATGTAGCGAGCGAAAGCGCAAACATCAAGACACGGCACAGCTGCTACAACGTCGCGAGTGAAATACGTAGAGCCCCACACGGCCAAAAGCTATGTAGGCGAGTGAACAGCAAACCAGCAACGAACGGCACAGCTGCGTACGTAAACACTGCGAGTGAAAACGCAGCAATCAAGACTGGAGGAGTGTCTGAAAGGACGGTAGCGTGAGGTGAGAGCGGGCATCACGTTGCACGCGCATGATAACACAGGTACGCGAGCGAACTATGACAGCTATTTCAACGAGTGAACAGACAACAGCAACACACGGCAGAGTAAAGTTGTGTTTGTGGATGTAGCGAGCGAAGACTTAACAATGGAAGAAAGGTAGCGTGTGGAGCGAGGGCTGACATCACACGCCTCACGCACATGATGACACATGATGACGCAGCTATGCTAGCGGGTGAAGAGCGAACCAGCTGCTTGAAGAACGGCCGTAGCGTGAGTGATTCGGTATAACACGTGACACGAAAGCAAGCTAGCGACGGAGACTGCTTTATGGAGCGTAGAGTGAGAGTGAGGTGGTCGGCGAGGTTGGGAGGAAAAACGGGCGGCAAGGTCACTCTCTTTCTTCTTTCCTTCCGAAGAAGAGGATGGAGGAGGTGAGACTCCGTGTGGCGGCCACGATGAACACATGCCGCACGCTGCTCATGCCTGCACCCTCCGTTTTCCGTCAGGCTGATCTCTTGGACCCTCCTGCTCTCGTCCGCCAACAACCGAAACGCCTGAGATTGGTTGTCCATCCACAAGAAAACCACAAACAACAGCTGCAAATCATCACAAAAGCAACGCTACCCCCTTCACGAAACGAAGGCCAAAACAAACGCTGCATCACCAATTGCTGACGAAAAGCACACCCAGCACAATGGTAACAGCAGTAGCGGCAGCAGCAGCAGCAACAACGAAAACAACGATAGGTCACCACCACCTCTCAACCTCCTCTCAGGCAGAAGGCCAACATTTTCTCTGTTTTTGCCAGTTGTTCACGAAAACCACACCCAGCACAACAACAACAACAACAACAACCACCACCATCACCACCTGTCAGGTAGAAGAACACCTCTACGCCGCCGGCGACGCCAGCGTGTGCCCCGCAACGCCGGCGGCCCTGCGCAGCGGGGGGGGTCGCACGGGGACCAAGGGGGCAGGGGGTGGGGGGCTGGGCGGCACGGCAAGGACGGGGGCCGGCCGCGGGGCCGCCGAGAGCATCGGGGACGGGCTCCCCTGCGGGTACTCGGACGCGCCAGGCTGGAGGATAGAGATGGAGGACGCCATCTGCCGGTGCGTTTTTTTGGTGGTTGGAGGTGGAGGGAAACGTTTTTTTTTTTTTGGTGTGTGTGCAGGTTGCGTTAAGATGCCACACACTCATCGGGACCGGTTTTCGAAGCTCAGTTTTACTCTGACGGCGACGAACATGGCGGCATTCGAACCGTCTCTTCGAGAGCTTTTCGGAGAAGCGTTATTTGTTTTTTGGCATCCTTTTCGTCGTGGAGTAACCGAGCTTTTTAGTGTCGATCCAGGGAGTGTTGTGTCTCATGCAACGTGAGACGGCTGTGCTCCCATGAGGGCACTCTAGAAGGATCGCGTGTTCAGTATTGTGTGCTCGGTGTGGTGTTTTTGTCAGCGATGGGCTGGGCCGGACCCTCTGTTTTTGTCCGTCTATTCTTGGGGCGATTTTTCTCCTTCCTCTTTTTTTTTTTTGTTGTTGCGTTTTTTTGTGTTCGTGCGTGTGTGTGTTTTTTGCCGGAAAAAAACACGGAGAGACTAGCCGTTCGAGGTACGGGTATCATGCTACCCAATATTTAAAGCGTGTGTAGCAGCAGTCTTCATTTATATCCAGCAGTGAGTGTTGAGAAAGTGCTGCTGGCTTTCCGCAGCGAGTGTTGCAATATCCCGCAGCCTTTCCGCGGCGAGTGTTGCGAGATACAAACTGTTGGCTTTGTTCCCTTCCGGATCGCGGACGATCAGGCACAACCTGTTGCAGCGGTCTTTTCAGTGAGTCTTGAGCAAAAAAACCTGCTGGCTTTTTTTTGTCGAGAAGAAACACCTGCTGACTCTTGTGTTGCTTTGCTGTTGGATGGCGGATGGCCAGGCACAACCCCATCCCGGCGAACGACCCGGAGTCGCGCGAGGCTCCCCCTGCGGACCCCACGAGCATGTTCGGCATTTTCGACGGACACGGCGGCGACTTCACGTCCACGTTCTGCGCGAGAGAGCTCATCGAGTGCCTGCGGGGGACATCCGGATGGAAGTCTGGCGACAGGTGGGCGCGAGGGAAAAAAAAACGGGGTGTTTGTTCCGTCCGGCCCCCGGCATGTGTTGAGGTTTTCTGGGATATTCGTGTTTTGGGAGTGCTTCGCTGGGAATGATGACGCATGTGATGGAATACCTCGGTGTGAGCTAAAGCGAAAAGCGATTTGTGGGGGCCCACGGCTGAAAAGCCTGGCTAGTTGAACACTTCCTCGCGATCTTTGGTCTCATGTTGATTTGCCTTGGGCTGTCTGTCTTCTCCCCCCCCCCCCCCCCCCCCTTTTTTTTTCCCCCCTTTTTTCCCCCCCCC